AAAACAAAAAAAAAAAAAAAAAAAAAAAAAAAAATGTAAGTCATTGTTAATACTTTAAGGATACAGATTGAATATTTAAGTAGCTTATGTACGGTTTTTTTTTTTTTTTTTTTTTTTTTACATCGACTTTAGATTTCTTCATCACTATTGCCTTCAGTTTCCTCGTCAAGTAATAAGCTAGTTGAACCAAAATTACGGAGTCTAATAAATAAATAATAAGATTGTTTGCATTTATTAGCCCTAATAATATATAAATATAAAATATATATGAGTGAGTGTACATGCATTTTAAAATAATTATAAATGTTAGTTATAAAATATAGTCAATTGTAATTGCTTAGCTTACCTCGTCGTCTGATACCTTGAGACCATCCAAATTAATACTGTTTCGTGTATAATTACCACCGCTCGTTAAAGAATTTGAATTATCTTTTTTAAGATATTGTTGACCATCAGCACTTCCGCCACCGACACTGCCACCACCGACCGTCGAAGAACGCGAATGATCTTCGAACAGTTGACGATTTACATCATCTTTCGTGAGACTTACGTTTGAAGCTGTTTGAGAATTTGAGTTTGAATTATTAGAATTGGAATTAAAGTTTCCACTGGTATTGGCCAAAGCAATGGTTGTCTTCAATGGAAGCACTAGATTAGCTCTATTATTCGCAACCGATTGATTGGTACCACTATTGCTACCATTTTGGCCATATCGTCCCGATGATCGTTCGCGTTGCTCGCGCTGGCGGTGATGATGTTGGTGATGCAAATGCGATGGATTATCAAACTTTTGCTTAGCCCTTTCGAAATCTAAATTACGTGACTTGGATTCAAAGACATTCTCTTCAACATGAGACGGTTTGGCATCAAAGAAACTAACACTTTGCTGTTGTTGCAACAAAGTACGCTCAGTGTGGCTGGAACGTTTTGAGGCGGCTTCAATGCCATTCGAATTACGTAGAGCGGCATTATTTTGTGTCGGTGCATCGTCGAATATTTGACGCAAATCATTTATATTCGGTAAACATTCACTTGATAATTCTACGGCAATTTTATTACGTAATTGTACACCACCACTGACACCTGTCAAACCAACACCTATACCGCCACCCATATTTCCTCCACGTGTTTGTGGACTATTCGCTCGCCTGTTGTTTGATATATTTTTTTTTTTTTTTTTTTTTTTTTTTTTTTTTTTTTTTTTTTTTTTTGTTTTTTTTGTTTATGACAAGTTTGTTATTTATGAATATATGCAGATAGATATTTAATTCCAAGCAGCATTTTTGAAAATTGTTAAAGGTTAGTAAATTATTAGCATATGCATTGCAATACGAAAACAAATAGATTTAAAATTAATAGAATATATTATTAGTTGAGTAAACCTTGTTTGTAAATGCTGTATTTGAACTTGCAATGCTTCAATTTGACCCACTAGTTCATCATTCGTACGCTGTAAGCGTCTAGCCTGATTAACCGCTGAATCCAATTCATCCTCAGCAGCAGATAATTCACGTTTCAGTTCTTCAACACGTTGACGTAAACGCTTCACCTGCAAACAATTTACATTTATTAAGAAATGCTTAAGCGTTATGTGATTTCTTGTGTAATTTAATGATTCATTTACTAATAACATTTGAAATCTAACTCAGATCATCATTTGATTTTGAGTATCAATTTAGATCGCAAGATCACAAAACCCAGGTTTCTATTTCGTCTCATGCGCTCTTGACTAAAAAGTTGAATCAATTACTCGAAAGTCTCTTGCCAAAGTTTTACATATTTTTGTTTATTATTGTTGTTGTTGTTGTTGTTGTTTTGTATTATTTGCGTAAGTGGTCTGTATGACTTCTTTTTTTTTTTGCTTTCTCTTCCTTGCCTGTCTATGTCTTAACGTTACTCATCACATCGCTTGATTTGGCGAATTTACCCATCCTTGTGTAATACGTCACAAGACGAATCGAAAGATGAGTGAAATGACATTGACACGTCTCCATCTTTCACAAGCACATGCCTCACATACTACTAAAACTTCATCTCCGTCTGGCGGGTAAGAAGAGAAGAAGAAGTAGAAAAATACTTTTTCCTGGCACGCACAAGAGACAATAAGAAAAGAAGAATTTTTCCCGATCGGTAGATACTATCTATTACTATAATATAATAAAATAACGATAACTAATTGACAATATATCTGACCAAGTCGCCTATGTTGTTTTGATAAAGGATGTATGTCTTTCATGAGATCTCGGATATATATATATATATATATACTAAGATATAGATATATATACTAAGATATATATATATATATAAGATATATAAGATATATATATATACTTAGATATATATACTATATACTAAGATATATATATATATATATACTATATACTAATATATATAATATTTTAATAATATATAATAATATTTTATATATTATATATATATAACTTATATATATATATGTATCTTATATATTCTCGGACTGACGGACAAGGTTAATTCACTTAATTACATAAAGCTAAAACTTGACTTGGCATAAAATTGCAAGAAGTTCAAGGCAAAATACTCAAATATCTATTTTCTTATCCTCCTATATCCTCCTTTTGATCCATATCTTTCAATCTATGAAACATATTGGAAAGCTAAAAAGAAAGGTAGATGGAAAGACAATAGTGGTCTTGAAAAGAAATTCCATACTATTGAGTATCAAAGTTATTCTTCCTGCTAGAGACTAGTCGTTAAATCTTCTTCTCCCGCACACATTATTTATTTTATAATGCATTGAAATGCGAATGGAAAAACCTCAATTATTGATTGCCTTATCCGATTGTCAGTCTGTTGAAATCATGATTGATTAGTCCAAACATATTACCTAGAAAAACAAAATGTTATCAAAAATTTCCTCTCTTCGATTAAAGTTCAGCAATGATCTAAATTAGCTTAAACGCTCCCTTCACAGTTACCAAAACTTACAAGTGTCCAATTTTGAAACCAGGTTAGTTTGATCTCAAATTTTTCATTAATACAATTGTCGAGAATCAAGTTCAAAAATAAACTAAATAGATTCAAGTATTCGGCTAAAATTATCGAAAAATCCATAAGTAAATTTGTGTTACATTTGTGTAAACAAGGTGTTTGCAAAAAATGTTGATCAGCAATTTCCAGTATATATATATGTAACGATCGAATTCGATGCTTTTGAACTTCGTCTACATAAAATAACAGTTTTCCCATTTAATATTATTGATTTATTCCGCGTACTAATCAGGACTTTTGTTGTTTATTTGAAGAAATCTGCTGCCAAGACCCATGAAACACCTTCAAGGGCTTAAAGGCGGCGACACGAATTGACTGAAAATGCCATTTTTTGGCCACTTGGGAAAGGAAGTTCTGCCGCACTTAGCGCACTCACCAGATATGGCGTCTCCTCACTACCATGGCTTGGCTGGCACGCGGATCCACCAAGTTGAAAAAATGCAAAAATCGGTCGATGGTTGGCGTGGATCGCTACCTAACCAATATAAGTTCTTTCGACATGATATCGCCATGTTGCCAAAAAAACTTTTTAAATGTCGAAAATAATGAAAACTATTTTGATTGATATATATATTATTTTAATTTGCCGCAATAAATGCGTTTTTCAAGTGAAAAAGTGATCAAAATGTTTACAAACACTCAGTAGCTTCCTAAGTTTATCATTCGTCATTTTGATGAAAAGTAAAACATCCGAATATATTTAGGTATTAGGTATCTTTCTTAGCTTATCGGTTGCTAGTTGTTTAACTAATCAATCAGAAGCGATATATGAATAAAGGATATTCGTAGGATATGCTAGGATTGTATAAAAACCTTAACCAATTTGATTTGGCGTAGAAAAGAATTTAAGAATAACGACGCACCGTTATCGGGTTAGTTTATTCGTTGCTACGCGTCACTGTCACTTTACAAATTAAAACATCTTATGAACCTTTTGTCAATTATTGCTTTGAAACTGCAAATCCATACGCGAGAGCATTGGACGTGTGACCATTACAGATAGTAACGACAATAATAATGTTAAGTTATCAAATTAAATCAATTTCATAAATAATGCGAGCATATGTTAATATGTTTATCAAGCGATACGTAATTAATCGACATTAAAGAGAGAAATCATTTTTAACGCTCTTAAACGAAAAAAAAAAAAGATTAAATTGACTAATTAATGCAAAGAAAGATCGGGAGAGACATTAATCGTACATAGTAATCTGGTTACTTGTATATGTTCTTTAGCTGAGAGTAAAAAAATGAAAAATCAAAAACACTGATCGCAACTCAACAACGGCATTGCTCACTTAGTTGCACGAGTATACTCGAAGAGAGACTACCAGTTAAATAGAAACGCCGTTCTCACAGCTGATCTATTATATTTAGAATAAAAAAATAAAAATAAAAAAAACAGAATTTAAAAAGGAAATGATTGGACGAAATGTTTTAGCCAAAGTGCAATCTATGGTGGCTAAAGTAGGATTTGCTACAAAACCCTCTAAACAAGCACCGAAATTCAATTGGCAAGATCCGCTTAACTTAGAATCGCAATTAACTGAAGATGAGATTGCAATACGTAATTCGTTTCGCAGCTTTTGTCAAGATAGTCTATTGCCGCGCATTACCAAAGCCAATAGGGAGGAATCTTTCGATAAGGATATAATGAAAGATATCGGAGCCCTGGGTGCTTTGGGTTGCACACTGAACGGTTATGGTTGTCCGGGCGTTTCTAATGTTGCCTACGGTTTATTAGCTCGGGAAATCGAGCGTGTAGACTCGGCTTATCGCTCAGCTTTAAGTGTACAGAGCTCTTTAGCAATGGGAGCAATTTATGATTTTGGCTCTGATAAATTAAAAGAAAAATATCTACCACTACTGGCCCAAGGAAAATTAATTGGTGAGTGGTGAAAACAAAAGAAATAAACGTTTAAGGAAAAAAACATTATATATAAATATATATAAAATGATAGGTGCTTTCGGTCTCACTGAGCCCAACCATGGCAGTGATCCAGGTGGAATGGAAACACGTGCGAAATACGACAATAAAAGTAAATGTTTTATATTGAACGGCTCAAAATCTTGGATTACTAGTTCACCCATTGCTGACGTGTTGATTATTTGGGCTAAGGGAGAAGATGGCAAAGTTCGAGGTTTTCTAGTGGATCGTGAACAATCTAAGAAAGGCTTATCGACACCCAAAATTGAAGGCAAGTTCTCTCTAAGAGCTTCGATAACCGGTATGATACTCATGGACGATCTTCATGTACCTGAAGAAAATCTCTTGCCTAACGTTGTTGGTTTCGTGGGGCCATTTACTTGCTTAAATAATGCTCGCTATGGCATTGCTTGGGGAGCTTTAGGGGCAGCGGAAGCCTGCGTAGAAATCGCTCGGCAATATGTTTTAGATCGTAAGCAATTTGGCCGGCCCTTAGCTGCTAATCAATTGATTCAAAAAAAATTGGCCGATGCTTCCACAGATATCGCTTTGGGCCTGCAAGCGTGTCTACAAGTAGGTCGTCTTAAAGAAAAGAAACTTCATACACCCGAAATGATTTCCATGATAAAGCGTAACAATGCTGGTAAAGCATTAGAAATTGCACGTGTAATGAGGGATGTATTAGGTGGAAATGGCATTTCTGATGAATACCACATCATAAGACATGTTATGAATTTGGAAGCTGTCAACACTTACGAGGGCACCCACGATATTCATGCTCTCATACTAGGACGCGCCATTACCGGTATACCGGCTTTCGCTAACTAAACACATTATATCAAATGCGCAGAAAATATCGCAAATGTCGAGAGCGTATTTTTAATAATTAAACATCAGGCTATTTAGTTCCGAGATTATAAAATAAAGAGACACGGTGTAATTATATATCGGAGACGAAAAAAAAGATAGATTTTACTAATTTTCTTCTTTGAAAGAAAATATTACCAACTTAATATAATATAAGATCGAATGAAATATGCCACGTACAGAGTAAAGTTTGTCTTATCAGACGAAAGATTGCATAGATAAGTAAGACGGCCACAGCAATATAAACATTTTGCTCAACGCAATTGCTATGCAGTTAAAAATATATTGCGTCTTTGCATAAGTCCCGGCAGCGAAATTTCGGCATATATTTTTTTTGTACAAAACGCTTGAAGCGTTGTGCATTAAGTGAAAACGGAAATATGTGCCGACATTTTAAGGAATCAAGTTGTAGTATTGAGTGTAAAATGTGCATTTTCCAAGCATTTGTTATTTTCAAAGCGACAAGAACACATTGCAAAAGAAAATGTCTTATGTTAATAATGATTTACAAAATGTCACTGATATTTTGAGAGGTTTTGACATTCAAGATACGTAACGTCAATCGGCCAGTTCTTACCAATGTCAGTCAATCAACTATTTCAATCGACTCTCGAATAACATTCAAGAGCTGCAAAAATAGGACATAACTTTAATATTAACCGACCACGTGTTTCGAAACATTTGCTTAATTTTCGCTGCTTATCAACGCATACACGCTATAATTGCAGTTAAATCTAATAAATAGAAGCATAACTGAAATCACATTTGAATTAAATTGCATTTTTTTTATATTTTTTAACAACTCATTCGCCCACATCAGTTATTTGCGGTGTACGGATTTAGCGGCACTGCTATATAGAGTTGTATTAATCAAAACATTAATCTTCTTTTGTTTTGTGTTCCAATTTATTGCATGTTTTCTTGAACCTCTTCAACTGATTTCGGAATTTGATACAGACGCGTTTTCGAAAGCCACACAAATTTGAAAGCCTTAATTTATAAGCACAATAGAAAAGCAAGACTAGAGCATCGACAATAATAGTGATTTCAACATAACAAACGAGCATGGCTTTACCGACTATGTTTTTGCGTTGACTACATATATTTATAATTTTCAATATAGTCTAAATAGAAAAGCGAATGAAATTAGGGTGAAATCTCTTGTACGAAACAATCAATAACACACTAACACATTTTTTTTTCTGTATAAATTTACCTCCGCTTCATATTGTTCCGCTCGCCGAACTGCATGTCCTAGCTCAGTATTCGTTTCAGATAATAACTTTTTCAATTTGGAATGTGATATCTTTAGTTCACTTAACTCCTGAAATGCAAAGCAGGTATAATTTTCGATTATTTAAAGATTTTGTTAAAAAAAAAATTGATTTACTTTATTTCGTTCTGATAACTCCTGTTGCAGAGCGCGAACCTCTACATCAGTTGCTTGTAAAGGACGACCCTTACGGTCAGACCGCTCTTGATAATCTCGAATTTCAGCTCGCAATTTTTTATTATCCCGTTCTAAAGCTAATTTTTCAGTCTCCAAACGTTCCCGTTTACCCCATTCGGAGGCATTTTCAGCTTGCAATCGCTCGAGCTGTTCCAAATTATTTAAAATATATTGTAAGATTAATAATTGAATGCTATTGTCGAACCTCTGAACGTAATTCCCCGAGACGACGTTCAAGATTTTCACGAGATGCTGTCTCTTCTTGTAAGGAGTTGTTTATTATGCGCATTTCAGCTCGATGTTGTTCTTGAAGGGTCAGCAGTTCGCGAACGGCCTCCTGTTTTGCAGCTCTTAACTCCTCCTGCCTTTCTCGAACTTCTTGGATTTCGAGAGTGAGTTTTTCTATACTTTTATGTAAAATATGCTTTTCACTAAAAACCGTACAATGACATTTAAAAACCGTATAAACTCAATTCAATTGTAAGGCTTACTCTCTTTCGGCACTGACCGTCTTTTGAGCTTCATCTAAGCGTAATTGTAGCATAGAGATCTTTTGTAACAGATAATCTTCATCGAAATCATCCTTTGAAAGTTGCTGTATTAAACGTTTCTCCTCGGCCGTTACTTCGTCTAAAAGATTAATCATTATTTTTTCCCTTTTAATATTAAGTCTTGAAAATTTTTAATATAAATGAATTACTAAACTACAAACCAATATCAGTTATAGTTTTTGAAACCGCACCCTTCAAAACGAATTCTTCAATATCGAGATCTTTGATTTCACCCCCTGCGTTTGTTTTAGTAACTAAACCATCTTCACTATTGACATTTTTTAAACCATCCGACGAAATGTCAGGAGAGCAATTGGCATCCCGACTGTTGGCCTCAGTTTCTTCGGCTGTATCGGCCATTCTTTTAAAAAAATTTAAATTAATTGTAATTTAATAATAATAAAAATTTCTTTTCGAATATATTGCATTCATACCCGGCTTTGTGAAATTGTCCGGCATGCTTCATCATCAAAGAGTGAACTTTTTCCATTTCTTTTTTCAATTGAGTAATTTGCATTTCAAGATCATTTTTCTCACGTTTATAGGAATTTGCTTCTTTCATTGCCATTTCTAAGTTAGCTCTAAGCTGTTTAGCTTCCTCTCGAGCCTTATTTCGTTCGTTACGCACCTATATATATATACACACATATATATATATATAAAAATATTGACAATTCTTTGTTAAAGAATATCGATTCAACATCCGATTGAAGTAAACTACAAATACTTTGGTAACCGCTAATAATGCCACAATTTTCTAATTTTACCTTACTCCATTTTTCCCGCCAGTTGGCAGTACAATCGGACCACCACTTCATTGTCTTCTCCATTTGGGCTGCTCGGGCGCGTGCCTCTTCCAGCTCTCGCTGACGCTGAGACTGAAACGATTGATAGATTGATAGATTAAGGGGTTGAAACACATTTTATTGATTTATCATGCATTTTTGTGTAAAACATACCTCCCTCGCTTCCCATTCTGTATCGCCAGACATATAACGTCCTGAAATAGTATTATTAATGATACCTGCACTACCAGCACTACCATCCATAATTTCAGTCCTATCAATACCGGACAAGCGGAAAGCTCAAACTATATTAGTTGTCAACTATGTCGAATATAATGCTTATGATAATTGCTTAAGGCATTTTCTTAACAACAAAAATAAGATAGATGCCATTCTCTACATATAAATACTTCTGCTACCATTATATATTCAATTTATTTTCTTATTTGATATCTTGGAGTTTGCCTAGTGAGCAAAAAGCTATGTTGCCAGAGTATCCCACAGACTGTTTTTCATCTAGCACAACGCTAACTGTCAGGATAAAAATATATCAATATATGGGGACTTTTGCCGACGGCTTTGCAAATAACAGGGAGTATTACCTCCTTTTTGCAATTAAATAAGTTCAGTCCGCGTATTTTCCACTAAATTAAAAATAGACAATATCATTAATATGACAAAACTCTACTCTTCGCTGAGTTGATTGGGGATAATGTCAAGTGTGTCCTTAAAAGTTGATTTAGGGTCTACTGGAGCATATCAATTATGTACATTACGTATAAAGACTTTTTCCTATATTAGGCTTACATGTCAACATCACACACGGCATCACTTTTACAGCAACAAGATACATACGCACAAAAATAGCTCTTTTTAACAGGGATGTTATTGTCACATTTCAGAAGCATTTCATTGATGCGTTACGTGCATTATCATTTGAAGGGCAAGTGGGTGTGAAGCCTCTTCCAAATCTCCTTTGATGTTTGGCAATTTTTGATTTGCTTTAATTTTGGTTGTTCCAGGCAATCTGTGAATAAATTTATCAACTTAAAATTTTATTTACAGTCGGACAAGACTCATCAAATATCCCAGCTAATTTTTCATGTTTTCTCTAGTGTGTCTATAGTAAGAATTTGTATCAATATATTTGTATAGTCGCGCCCTGTGAGATTTTTCATATTGATACTTTTTGCTCCATAAAATTACAACTTGTTATGGATAGGTGCACATAAAAATTCAATTGTGTATTGAAAAAAAGAAAACGTACTTCATTTTGTACGGTAATGTTAACGTGCTATCCTCAGGATGCCTTTATTAATTAATATTTCTTATCTTTCTTTACTACATTTTTTTTTCCATTTTATAGTGCTGCCAAGTTTAACTTGATTTTCCTAATTCCGAGAGTATGATTACCTCTATCCAAAAATGTTGTCAACGTTACTTAAAGCAATTTTGAACGAAACCATCTAATGTCAAAACTCAACGAAAAATTGCTGTCATCCACAATATATGGTCTGTTCATAACATAAGAACGTGCATCCGCCTTTTTCCGCTTTGAACACTGAACATGGCAGTTGGCAAAAATAAAGGTCTCTCGAAAGGAGGTAAAAAAGGAGGCAAAAAGAAGATTGTTGATCCTTTTTCGCGTAAAGATTGGTACGATGTTAAAGCTCCTAATATGTTTAAAACACGCCAAATTGGCAAAACTCTCGTAAATCGTACACAGGGGCAAAGAATCGCCTCAGACTTTTTGAAAGGACGTGTGTTCGAAGTGGCTTTAGGCGATTTGCAGAAGGATAACGATTCGGAGCGCTCTTTCCGTAAATTTCGTTTAATTGCTGAAGATGTGCAAGATCGCAACGTTTTAACTAACTTCCATGGCATGGATCTAACTACAGACAAATACAGGTAATTGCGATAAATCAATAAACCTATCGAAAAAACGAAAGAAATATGGAAAGGCCAAAATTGTGGCATTCATTTATGTTTATGTGCCGTATAAAATGAAACCGACAAGTATGTGCATTGTATATGCCATTATATTAATGATAGTAACTTAACTCGAAAATCTTCACTTCAATATCATAAATATATAAAATATATGTAATTATATTTTCAGATGCATGGTGAAAAAATGGCAAACTCTTATCGAAGGTATTGTCGAAGCTAAAACTACAGATGGCTATTTGTTGCGTGTATTTTGTATTGGATTCACTGCGAAAGATCAGCAATCTCAACGAAAGACTTGCTATGCCCAACACTCGCAGGTCCGTAAGATCCGCAGCAAAATGCACGAAATTATTATTAGAGAAGTTAGCGATTGTGATTTAAAACAATTGGTTAATAAATTAGCTTTGGATTCGATTGCCAAAGACATTGAAAAGATATGCCAACGTATCTATCCATTGCACGACGTCTATATTCGCAAAGTCAAAGTATTGAAAAAACCTCGTTTCGATTTGTCCAAATTGTTGGAGCTACACGGTGACGGCGGTGGCAAGGGTACAGAAGCCGTTGTCTCAGCGGAAGGTACAGTTATTGACCGACCCGAAGGCTATGAACCACCCGTACAAGAGTCTGTATAAGTTATCTTCAAATAACTTTGAAAAACAAATTTCTTTTTCTATATTTAGTGTGAAAAAATGAAATTTTAATTTAAATATAGAAATTTATATGAAAATCTATTGAATCATAATTTTATGAAAGTGAAGTGTAGGACTCTAAGATTAAGATGACCACGTCGTCATTGAGTAAAAAAAATGATTAGTGGAAGTTTTTCTGTTTCTTCTCTTAAGATTCCATTTCAGCCTTACCCATGCAGATAAGTGGAAATCGCAACATTTTGGGAATCTAAATAAAGAAGTAAGTCTTTCCTCCCATTTTACATATTAATTATGAATTAAAGTTTAACGTGATGTAGTACTATTTTTCGTCGCAGAAAATATTGATGACAAATTTTAACTGATTACAAAAAAGAAAAGAAGTGCTTATTCTTGTTAACTAAATTAATATCTCATTATAATTTGATTAATAATTGCGTTATTTGTTTCAGATAATACATAAAAGTCGCGCTTAAGCCATATCCGAAAGATTCATACAATTCGGTAAGTAATCACGTTGATTAGTATCACTTTAAAGCCAATACATAGGTAATGGATCATACAAAATTATGACCACGTTTTAACGCTATATTTTTCAACCTTATCATGTTCGTGTTTATCCATTTAAATCATATTGTCTTGTTTGGTATCACCTTAGCGAAGGAGAGCATATATTAATTTTATTTCATTTTTGTGTAAAAGGTGCACAGAAAGAAAAGGGGAGATATTTTACAAAATTTACATACTTCACCAATAAGAAATTTCGAATAGACACCACGGGGGCCAGTCATAAAATAAAACATTCAGAAAATACATCCTTCAAATTTCACAGATAAGACGGAATGGACTGACAAGCACGGCCACTAGAAATGAACGATTTAAAATAGCAGCCTGTTCCAATGTTTCTAAAAATTTGAAATCGAAATATTTATTTTTGCGACCAGGCGAGTATCAACAACTTATCACAAAGATGGACGGACATGGGTGAATCAATTCTGAATTTCACGCTGATCAAGAATATGTACACTTTATAGGAGTATTCCTCCATCTTTCAATGGTGGGTATAATAAGATATTAGAATTCAGTATATAACGATAATTCAAATTTTTGCATTATGGAGTACACGTGCGGGTATAGCTCGTCCGCAATGACAGTTTATTGAAGTGATCTTAAGTTCGTTACCTTGGACGAGACAAGTTCAATTGCCATTGGAATACGTTAGATTTATTAGACCTACAACACACAAATACCAAGCAACGAAATATTCGTATAGTAAAGTATAAATGCACTTCTACGATGACATTTTCGTAAAGTTCCGAATTTTTAAGCTAATAATTCATATCTTTTGGCCCGCCAATCGTTTCTTATTGGAACGTCCATTTTCGGGAAAATCGAGACAGCTAAAACTTTACAAAATTTTCTTAGTTAGTTGCAATGAATCAAGCTCTAGGGGACGATCGCGATTCTCTCATCACGTTCATGATGATGCAGATCAAATTTTCCAATTAAATTAATATCATTATATTAAGACTATAGGAGATTAAATGAATAAGAATTTGCTTTTAAGTTTGCTATAGCATTCGTGTCCGCAAATAATTAAAAAATTTTACTGCAAACTCTTGGGAGCGTTAGTCAAAACCTATAAAATATATAGATCTAGATACTGCTATTGATAGTTTTTAGATCCATCTTACAAGCCTAGTGCAGCGAAAGCTTTAATTTTTATATGTTGGTTTAAGATGAATGTGTGTACAAGTTTGCTTCAAGACGTATGGAATTCTTCTTGCTTTTTTTTTCTTGACATTGGTGTAAAGGAAAATATAAGAAAGATTCCCGATCTTAGAAATCCTAAGTTAGGAGAAAAAAAAAACTTACGTAATTAAATCCAATGAAAGTCATAAGCAAAATTTTTCGATTTATTCTGTACAAAGTTTTGAGCTCGTAATCGTGATTTAAGCAGAAATGTTATCTAAACAGAAATAAATCGATTCTGCTATACACGGTATGTTAATGTTTTATGGACGGAGTTGTATGTGTAATTGTCGGCCTTAAAAGTATTTAATGGAACATTTAAGAAAATGTATTTTGAATAAGAGCAAACGCGGGATTCACATATGTTTCATTTGCCTGGAAATAACCTAAGAAACGCAGAGAATGTAACGACATTTGAAAAACGAACTTTCCCATCTCTTTGCAATGCCATCGCGTACCATTAAATACACAGACTATTTGTAATAAATTTTCATCGTTATTTGACAGTTGAACGACAAAATCCATAGTAATATAATTGCTTCATACAATTTGTTCTTTGATTTCATTCCCGATCTAATCAAAATTCATTAATTTTTTTTGCAGGAATTTTCATATTCATTTCAAATTTGATTCTGCACGATTGCCGATCATCTATGATGTCATTACGCGCAACAAAGCAAAGCTTATTTCAAAACAAGAATTCTTACTATGGTCTCAATTTAGCAATATATGGATATGAGGAATCAGGACACAAGGCTTTACAGATGGAAACGATAAATATGCAAGAATTATTCAATTAAGAATTGAATCAAGCAAGCGAGATTAATGAAAGACTAATGATAGTCAAGTCATTTGCAGGAAGGATCTCCTAACGGCGAAGATTATGTGATTTCCATTCGGATTATCGTCTTCAGGATAAAGAGCACCAAGTGGCAGCAAACTCGCTTTAACGAGGTATAAAAAACTCGATTTTTTTTCTAAAATGAAATGGAAATATGTTTTTATGAAAAAGAAAAGATTTAAAATTAAAAATAAAACAAATATTAATATAAATTAATAAAACAAAATATTTTTAATTTAGAAATTAACTCTGCCGCAGGTTACACTATAGTTATAATAACAAAATAAAGCTTAAAAAATATTTAAGAAGTCCATGTGTGCCAATGGTGTTAGTAAGAAGCAGATTAAGTTAAAAGCTTAGTTTTCGATAGATTATTATGACTCTGCTAATCGCTGTAACATTTGTTGCAAATACTGCCCTGCATGTGTGGGATTGTTATTTTTACTCGTTAGAAAAGTGATTGGTGTGGGGAAATTTTTGTTGTTGTGAATTTGGGAGCAAGAAAAACAAAGTCGAATGATGTGGCAAGCCGGATAAGAACAGTGTGGTCGGGTCTTTTTGAAAAGATGTAGCGATCGGTGTGAAAGAAAAGTGAGGTTTCAGCGAAAACCGGTCATGTAGTTTGTGTTGGGGCCATATAAAGAGACTCCACCGTTTTTTTGGTACGTTTTTTGAACAAAATCAAGAACATATTGACCATAATTATCTATGGCCTTTTTACCATTCTGTACCCGAACAGCAAGTTTCTTTTTTGTATCCTCCTCCTTTCAAATGATTCCAAACTGTCATGTGGTTGTGGTGTTTAGTGCCTCCGCTATTTTCTGCGTGTCGGCCTTGTTCTAATAGTGCGCAATTTCACCGGCTTTTTCAGTGACGGTCAGAGATCGGCCAGAGCTAGGTGCATCTCTGACATCGAAATTTCCCGAACTGGGTCGGACAAACCACACTTGGGACCTTCGTTCAGTCACAACATTCTCACTGCACACTTTATAAATTTTTTCGGCATGTTTTTGGGGTGTTATATAATAGATTCAGTAGCACGTCACTGTTTTGTCAGGATTTTGGATTTTCTTTTTTATTGTATTTAATGTTCGATATATCTCATGCATGTATACAATTTTGTTTAATATATAAATAACATATATGTGCTGCTGCAACTTAGTTAATACGATCCCTCTAAGTATTAAAGAGGCATTAACATTTTCCTGCGCATTATCAAAGCCGATATGGATTAAATTAAAATTAAAAAAAAATTTATATATCTAGATATATAATGTAATGAAGTATTCGTTTTATTATTAGAGAGAGGTAGAGTAAAGGGGTCAGCGGACCTGACTTCCAGGTCATCTATTGCAAAATGTGGGCCGTGGGTCCAGCGTGGCCCATGGCTTATAATCTGGCCGTTCGGTAAGTAGGTTTCGCCCGTCTATTTATTCGCATAAGGATGAAGAACGTGCAATTCTTTTAGATGTAACTGTCTGTGGAGTTTCCTTGAGATAAAAATTTAAAACTCTCCCATATCTCCTGAACTAGCTAGCTCGGCTCTCGATCCTCTTCAAGTGGGCCTAGAAATAATAAAGTCCATAGTAAATATTTGGGTAGACCTTTGCGGGCATATAGACATGAATGTTATATCACATAAGAATCACTGCAGATGTATGGTAAAGCTTTTATGCAATCGCTCTGTTTGGACGCATTTTGTTCTTTCTCTAGAGCCAAATGATGTAAGGTGTTTAACCCGTTAACGTAAATGATGTCTAAAGAGGTCTATTGCGTGTGCTTGTAGATGCAAATGATGCTTATAGCAATGTGCCTTTGCAAGCACTCATTGATTTTAAAGTGTTAATTTATGGACTGCTGAAGTTTTCCGTGTATCTATTTTTATCGAAATTGACGCTTTGCCATGTTTATTGAATTGCCACAGTCGCAACAATGACGATAGAAATTTGCTAACAACATTCCTTGAGCGATTAGAAATTCAAGATTAAAGAGTGCTTGTGATCCACAATAAATAAGAAAGTGAAGCAAGTTTAAAAAATTGGTCAATTGTTTTTAATGAATTTTCGTCTATAACTTCTCGCGGTCTTGCAAAGATGTTTCTGAAGGGCAGCCATAATTACCAGCATGTTCATTCCAAAAACGGTCCAAATGAATTTTTCAACATACCACCCGTAAAATGTGTTCAAGTAAACACTTTATAATGGACCCTAGCTCACCACCAAATATCTTACATCACTTCGTTTAATACAGCTGCTCACATAACCACCTTTCAAAATAAGGCGTTATATGAGAAGTTATCGAAAAAGTTATCCAACCCGAACTATTATCCATTGACCGTTCGTCCTCAGGCCAAAACACATCGGTGTATCAAATTTTATCCAGGCATTGCAAAAATTGCGACCTATAGGCTAAACATACGGATGTATGCATAGGCGAACAAAAAAGTTCAGATCGATTCAGAAGGCGATTCGGTCT